TCGAGGTGAATTCGTTGCTACTCGAGGTGAACTCACTTACACTCGTAATATACTCGCTGCACTCTTCATAGCTCGTAGCAACTAGCCACCTTATGAAGAGTGCAGCGCGAGCTCGTTAGGAGTGGTTGCGAGTGCCTCTTTGAGGCAACTCACCACAACTCGGCTAAGTGGGAGCCCTGCTTAAAGCAGGGCTCCCACTTAGCCGAGTTGTATTAGCGAGTTATGGCGAGGTGTGGTGTGTTGCCTCAAAGAGGCACTCGCAATAACTCGCGAACAATTCGGTATGGCTTAGCGTAACTCTATACAACATTCCACGACTCTCCTCGAAGTCGCGAGCAGTTCCAAAATGTTGAACATGTTCAAAAAAATACCCCGATTCGTTGTAATTCTAGGTGAACTCGCCTACACTCGTAATATTCTCCCATTACTTGTAACAAGCTCGCGCTGCACTCTTCATAAGGTGGCGAGTTGCTACGAGTATATTACGAGTGTTAAGCAAGTTTGCCTCGAGCTACAACGAATCAGCGAAAATTTTGAACATGTTTAAATTTTTCACTGATTCGTTGTTACTCGAGGTGAATTCGTTGTTACTCGAGGTGAACTCGCTTACACTCATAATATACTCGCATTACTCGTAACAAGCTTGCGCTGCAGTCTTCATAAGGTGGCTAGTTGCTACGAGTTATGAAGAGTGCAGCTCGAACTTGTTACGAGTAATGCGAGAATATTACGAGTGTAGGCGAGTTCTCCTCGAATTACAACGAATTGGGGAAAATTTGTGAAAATGTTCAAAATTTTGGAACTGCTCGCGACTTCGAGGAGAGTCTTGGAATGTTGTAAAGAGTTACGCTAAGCCATACCGAATTGTTCGCGAGTTATTGCGAGTGCCTCTTTGAGGCAACTCACCATAACTCGCTAATACAACTCGGCTAAGTGGGAGCCCTGCTTAAGACACCAAAAAATAAGCCAGTTCGTAAATAGCCTCGGAACGCATGACCCCCAAATAACCACAGATGTTTTACACGATGAATACGTCGCACTTGTACATTTTAGAATACTCACTGCTTAATTGATGGAGGTGCTTCATGAATACCTTTTGTTTGCCTCTTGAGAAGAATACTTCCACCTGTGAATCAGATAAATGTATACTGTCAGTCAGGCGCGCCGGAAGCAGTTTGGGATTCGGGGGGGGGGGCAAACATTCCAGGTTGCTCACCCAGTGGCGGATCCAGGGGGGCCAGGGGGCAAAAAAAAGTGTAAAAACACGTTAATTTTACCTTTTTTTTGTAGATGGGCCACCTCCCCTGGCGCTGAAGGGGGGGGGGGGGGGGGGGGGGGGTGTGATTTTTCAAAACAAGAAAATTAGTGCTCACTTTTTTAGGCATTAAATTACGGTCAGATAGGCATATTTAGATACCTTATTTGTGACACTGGCAGGTCACTAATTGACCTGCCAGGGCCTAGGGCCCTTGGTGGAGTCCAGGGGGCAGAGCCCCCGGACGCTCGCTTTTTTTTTATAGGTATTTCATTACGGTCAGATGAGCATCCAGTGGACCGCCTTAGGGCCCTTGGTAGGGTCCGGTGGCGGAGCCCCCGTAAGCTTTGGGGTTTTAGGCATTGAATTACGGTCAGATGATCATATTTTGATACCTCATTTGTGACATTGGCAGGTCACTTATTTTTTCTCACTCTATCTGTCTTGTTCTCTGTAACATACTTTTACAAAAATTGAGGGGGGGGGGGGGGGGGGGGTCTCGAGCCCCCGAGCCCAGCCGTTCTGCAGGCCCTGACATGGAGGCTTCTAAGTAAGCATATATTTCGCCCGACTGTAAGTTGGGGAATTTCTAATTTTCCAACAAACGATTTAAAAAGGTATGACTTACACAACAATTGAGAAAAAATACCGGAAAATCATGTCATTTCAGCAACATTTGTAAATCACTGGTATAGAATAAGAAATTACGAGCCCAGCCGTTCTGCAGGCCCTGACATGGAGGCTTCTAAATAAGCATATATTTCGTCCGACTGTAAGTTGGGGAATTTCTAATTTTCCAACAAACGCTTTAAAAAGGTATGACTTACACTACAATTGAGAAAAAATACCGGAAAATCATGTCATTTCAGCAACATTTGTAAATCACTGGTATAGAATAAGAAATTACCCCCCCCCATAAGTACGCCAGCGTTCAGGGGCTTATGTCTTCTCACCCCTATAACAAAAACACACACGCTTTCCCATCCTCTCACAATATTTCCACGATATACGCGTATCGCTAATACTTAAACCTCCATTGATAAATACAGGTGGCATGCGGAATGTTTAGGAAATTTAATTCCTGTTAACTTTCCTTTTCTTTGAATGGAATTTTATATGTGATTTAATTCAGGTTTGTATTATTGTTATGTTCTTTTGGGTTAAAAATACAAACCATATTTACTCCTTCACTGCTTTTTTTTATGGGGGGGGGGGGGGGCAAAAATGCGTTTTGCCCCCCCCCCACTTTTTTGGTTGGGGAAGTGCCCCCCCCCTGCCACCCCACTTTCGGCGCCTATGCTGTCGGTGCATAAACGAATACTGATTACATAACTTTCATGACCATGATCACCAGTATTCTTCTCAATGGTTTTTCAATTTGGGAACGAATGACCTTTATCAGCCCATGCGCAAATCCTAATTCCGAACTCGTGCAGATTTGGCAGAGGGTGCGCAATATACCCGGCGTAGTCTGTATCAAGACTTAATGATAAACATATAATATTGAAAGTTGAATATGTCCTCCAGTTTGTGTCGATATTCCAAGAACAAGATTTAACATGTTGAAATATAAAATAGATTTCACTTTCTCATAATATTACTATACAATAAGCAATGAGTTCAATATCACTTTAAACAAAATGAAGTCAGTACATCTTCTTTACAGACTACCAATCCCTCTCAATTTGAAGAGGCGTAAATATTCACTTCTGAATGATGAACGCCTATAAACCTAAACAACAAAAACAATAAAATCAGCAGACTGCGTCTTTTTTAAAACTAGACCAGCCATCCTAGCTTCTCTCATGAACCCATCTTTGGCCCAATTGGTAAGATTACGTATGTTCTAAGATGATGACGTGGATCCTAATCAAATGATTGGTTGAGAGCAGGCCCCCCAAGCTCCGCCATTTTGTCCGGATCCATTAGAAGCCAAAATAAGCTACCTTGCATAATTCATGAGCCTTATGAATTATGCATTCTGTAGGATGCTCCCCGCGAAAAGTGTACTGGAATGATTTTCACTACATGGTAAAAGACAATACGCGTATCAGCGTAATTAGAGAGGTCAAATAATCTACTGTACGGAATTATGGGTAATTTATTCATCACGCTGCGCGCTAGCAACGCAAGTGATTCAGCGAATCAGCGTAGATTATTCTGATGCGATCACCGTTAGGTGAAATACGCGCTCGAACTTGTATTATCGATCACCAGTATAACAGCTGGTGTACCCAGAATGCATCGGGAAGTGGACCTCTCGTTGTTGTGTTGTTGTTGTTTTTTAATATGGGGGAGTGGCCTTAACTTCATTGAATAAGAAATACTGATCCGATCTTATTCCCTTTTTAGTCTGTCAATAACTGGGTCTGTTTTTGTTTTATTAACTCAAACATGCTATAAATCAACACATTCTCTGGCTATGATTATACATTTTAAATATGCTAATGTATAAAGTGTCCTTATTTTATACAAACAAATTATGTGGCAAAGAGGATGGTTTTTCTCCACCCACTCTCATCGTACCTTAATGATTCCCTTTCTCTCTCTTTCTCTGTCTTTCGTAAATTATCTTCTGCAACTAACAGTTTGTTGTCTTGACTGAACAACCTGTTGCAGTTCCTTTCTGTCTCACTTTCAGTCGTAATACCATTCATTTACATTTACTCGTTATCAACCATTGATCCATATTCACTCCATTACTGTCAACATTTCACTTGGATTATCTTCACTTTTTACTTTTTGCAGCCTTTGCAGGAGCTTTGAACATTTTTAATTTAGAGACCAGAGAGATCGGAAAGTATGTTAATCATTTTATTCGAATTGAAAACGGAAAGTGAAACATTGTTTTTTAACATCTTGACATATTTTTTGTTTAAAGACAATGGAATTTAACACTGGAAATTTTGAATTGGGGCGCCCCCCCCCCCCTCCAAAAAAAAAAAAAAAAAAAAAAAAAAAAAACAACCCAGAAGTGGTACCAGGGTTAGTTCGTTGGGAGGCCTATGTCCTTTATAATTTTATTTTTAGGAATAGTTTTCTCTTTTTTATCAATTTGACATTGGTATACCGTTAATTTCACTTGGAAAACGGCCCTTCCCTTACACATCAATACTGCCATTACTTCTAGCAACAGTAATTCTATAATTCAAAACGTTTTCATTTTCTAAATCCTTCTAATATAAACATATAACAAATATAATATTGTTTACACTTTTGCAACCTGTTACATGGTCCATTTAGAAACAGCACCAGGAAGAGGATAACAAGCCCCCCCCCCCTGTTTTCTTAAGCTAGGAAGTATCAAAACATGATTCTATTAAAATTAGCAGTTTGGATACAACAGGCAATGATGATTAGCAGTTTCCATATTTAGTGCATTTAGAGGGTTGTCTTTCAAACCTTCTTACATACAATACTTGAAGCAGCAATAATGTAATAATCTACAAAACTTCAAATACAGAAGTCCATAGACTGAGGTAAATGAATTTCAACATGTATAATTATAATTAATATATCATTGATTGATTTAATCTTTGATATAGACTGATAGATCTTTATCACTCAAATTTCAAGGAAATTTCTTTCTGCCCAGCACTCAGTTTCATCCTATAAGATTGTAGTTGACATTGTTAAAATGTCATTAATGTTTATTCATTGATGATTAGTTATCTTTAATTATTTGAAAGTTGACAAGATGATAAATTCATTAGCTTTTTTTAAATGTGGTATTCTACAAACATATAATACAAATAATAAATAAATAGTATGTAAATATTCAAGTTTAAACCCATCTCTACTGTCCTCTTTCATTATATGAGGGGGCATCTTTAAGACGTAGTCCCATGTAGATGTCTTCTGCATTCATCGATGAAGTTGTAGGCTAGTTTTCAGAAAAAAGGGCTGTGATGATAACCCAAGTCTGTTGAATGGAAAAATGAAATAAGATACAGTGTATAAGAAAATAAACAACAACTAATAACATACACCCTGATACCTGCTCTGACAAAAAGAGGAAGGACTAATATTCACTTGGGTTTCTAGTGGGAAAACCTAAACTTTTTTTCCTACAAGATTAGTTACTGACCACATGTTAGATTATTTCTGATGATCCCATTAAGACAATAGGCCTGATGGAGCTTGGATCAGACAAGTATGAAATAAGTAATACTGGTACATGTACAATGTACTTGTAATGTGAACTCGTGGTCATAATACTCGGTTTACATAAAATGACCAAACAACTTGGAACAGAGAATGTACAGGAAATAATGCTATTGAAACATACGTTATGTAGACTTATATTTCATGTATATTGACATTTTAGTTTTAATCTAAATCACAATTGTGATATTCAGTCAAGTATTCTTTTACAAGTCAATGGACAATGAAAAATATAATTGTCAGATCTATAACTTTCTGCATGATAAATGTGTTCTACAATAGTTTATTGGGGGTACCTACATGGTATATTAGCACACTTGCTTGTATGAAGTGCAGTAGGCCCATATATAGATATGATTCTGTCAATATCTGTTCTTTATTCCTCTCCTGGGTTTGTAATCAGCATGCTTTCATCATCCACTGTAGAGAAGCATCATCCTACATAAGAGAAAGCAATGTAGGTACTTCAATTAAAAAGTGATAATGATAGATACATATCAACCATAATTCATCATATAAACAGACTTTCGTTAATCTTATGTTGTGATCTTCTTCATCTTCATTGCTCAAGAAGTGAAAGGACCACTTACAAAAAAAAGTAATGAGGGGTCCTGTGTATACCCTACATGTATGATCATTATCATTATTATGTAGTGCTTTGAATGTGCATTAGACATCGTTCTTCTACACACAGGACCTCCTGTAAATAAGGACAAATCCCTTTGTAAACAAAGAAAGGGAAGAACTAGAATAAAATATTCCCTCCACTATACACACTTGAAACATACACTTAGTTCCATTTCCTTTTTAGTGAATTAATAGGTGGTCGTTTAATATTTGTGTGCTAAATATCCTGAAAATTTTACCTGCATGGGACTTTCAGCTTCATCTTGAAAATATAAGAAATGTTGTAATGTCTACTCATCAGTTAACTCCTTCCAGCTCTTCATCAGTTTCCATCTGTTGGAACAAAAAGAAAACAAAATCAATACGACAATCAAGGCGTCCCTTTCTCCTTAACAAAATAAAAATAGATCTAGCATAAAAGCTATTTTTCATGTCATGGTTGGCCTTAATTTTAATATAGTGTGGTAATCAACATTCCAATTTAATGGACCACAGTACAAAGTAAAATCAAATGGAAGATTTAACTTGTGCCTCAAAAAGTGCTTTATATGGCCTAGATATAAAGTAGTCTTAAGTAGAATTGGTTTATTAAGACAAGAAGAAGTGGACTTCATTAGTAAACATAATTGTGGACAAGGGGTCTTCTCTTACACAAACAAATAGATTTATCAACATGAACTGCACAATTCAGAGAAGAAAAAATCTCTAATAATTATATTAAAAGTAATAACAGGAGTCAGAAGCGTACGCAGGGGGGGGGGGGGGGGTTTGGGGGTAAACTCCCCTACCTTCAGTTTTTTTTTATGTGTATGTTTTTCTGGAACCCCCCCTTTTTTTAGTGTTGTTTTCTGTTGTTTTTTTTTTTTTTTAATACAAAAAAATCCAAATGGATGACCTTACCCCCCCCCCCCCCCATGCTTATTCAGTGGCTGGATGAGTCGTTGCGAAATTTTTGGTCCGATTTCAAAATGTTAACCCCCCCCCCCTCCCCCTTGAAAAAATCCTGCGTACGCCACTGATAGGGGTCTAGATCTAGATCTAGTAGTATATAAGGTCAAGGTCTAGACTCTAAATGATAACTTGACAAGCATGCTGGACCCACACAAAATCTAATTATTAAATAAACAAATCCTAGTGTTGATGTTTTTTGAATACTTTTTATTAATAAGTTCCAGGTTTATACATCTAAATGAAATAGGATTTCGAGTTGTTTGATTATCAATGGTCACAGATAATTTTGGTCTAAATAAAGTTGACACGGATGCAACTGAGCAAACGGATACGATGGCACTGATAAAGCCATCAGAGTCAACATCTACTAAAGATTTTAACAAGAATTAATCCACTTGGATTATCAAAAAAATCATGCCTGAGAGATTATTGTAAGGTGTAACGTTAAATCTAGATTTAAATTAAATCGATGATTGGTGAATTAGATTCATGATGACGATCAAATCTGAAATAAAACTTGATTAGAAAGTTTGATCTTGATGCAGATGAGCACCGAAATTCCCCGGGGTGGGCCTGCCGGAACGGCCGGGCCCCTAACTGGAGTACTAGGGTGAAATGACGGCAAACCGCAGTCAAACTACTTCATGACGATGAAAATCAAAGTTCAATTTCAAGAGCAATAATTTCCTAGTCTTTTCCCCAAAAATCTGTTGAGAACGGTCTCACAATGTAACGAAATTACCGTAGATCACAAAGACTATTGCAGCTTTGTCAAAATTGATGACTGAATTCACTTAATCTACTCATATTTCAATCAATTACTCACCCATTCTCAATGAACTAAATCTTCTCAGTTTGTGCGAGTAGCCTGCGTCGTGCATAAATCTGCATAATTAAAGTGACGCAATGAGGTCAAATATATTATCCGGTTTCTTAAATGATACTATCGATAAAATACATATTCATGAGGCTCATATCCAATCAAAGAGCCGCCTCGGTGGCTTATTTTGTCTTCAAATGATCCAAAAGAGGCGGAGCCTAATCCCATTCATCTGCATGGTTTCCGCGCGTGCTGCTTTCCGTCTAGTAATTATATTTAAACGTCTTTGGTTGAGAGCGTACACGTGACCAAGCATTTATTTTGCCTAATACGTAATTTTGATATTGACCGGTCATTATCAAATGCTAATCACCGGTCATTAGTAAAATCATGTTATAAAACATAATCTTATAAAAAAAATAATACACATCATTTTGCTAGGGCATTAGTAAAATTACCCACACTCGGTATCTTCAAAACAGTCCAAACACCCTCGGCTATCGCCTCGGGCATGTTAGAATGTTCCAAAGGTACCTCGTGTAGGTAATTCTTACTAATGCCCTCACTGCTGTGTATTATTTGTATATTAATCCCAGAGTTGTGGGTTCGAATCTCAGTATTTATGCAGTTCTATTTTTGCCATTATGAATAGTGAGGCAAAGCAATAACTAATGTAAGTCTAATTGTCTGTGAGGTAGGCACAGCTAGCTAGACTCTGCGCGACCCGTAATAATTGTGACCTTTACTGTGATTTCACTAATAATGAACGAATCATGGAGCCCATATAGTGTCGACAGGCCTATCGGCTATATTTGGACGTCCAAGAACCAACCAGGACACGGTACGTTGTGACAAGTTTCTCAACTCGGCCAAATGGTGAGCCTAGGCCTTCCGACGTCCACCAATAAGTTCAGTCGCCTCCATTGCATTTCCTCAAAGTTTTGTCCGAAAACTAATATTTTTTTTTATCATATACATGTAGATTCTAAACGTTAATATAGGCAGTTCAACTATTTTTCTTCTCTCTCTCTCTTTTCTCTTTTTAAGTACTTTTCTAATTCAATTTTGTCCTCATCTTCTTCTTCATGTATCACTCATTATAAATAAGCGAAATATCTTGAACTCAAATAATTATGTGCGGTGCAAAAGGGTTGTAGGGGTGTACCCTTTGAGTTCTAAATACGAAGTTGACCAGAGCCTGTTTGTGGATAGTGTCCGTGGAATTTAGAAGTAGTGGTATTGCATTTTTGTTTTCTATGCCAGTTTCTGTAAAAATCATGGCTCTCTTTAAAAGCAAGAGCGGGCCCTTGCATAAGAAATGGTTTACTGTTTCTTTTTCGTGTTCACAGTATAAACAATTTCCAGTCTTATGTTGTTTCAACTGGAATAGATTTTTATTTAACCTCAAGTTTCCCATTCTTAGGCGATGGAGAATAGTTTCGTTATTTCTCTTGTTCAAGTAGCAAACAAATGTTTTTGATACTACTTACTAGGGTTTATGTTTCCCTTAGAGGTGATGACGTTTCATTCCATATTTATTTGCCATTTCTCTATGTAGTATTTCTTAATAACATAGTTTGATTCTGCTCTGGTAAGTGCGTTGTTGATTTCTATGTTTTTATTTAGTCCTGCGTTAGCATACTTATCCGTTATCTCATTGTGGTGTAGACCACAGTGACTGTGAATCCATTCGAAATTGGGCTGGGTGCCTTCGTATTATAATTGACTACACAGGGTTAGAATATCAAGAACAACATATTCATTCTTACGAGATTCTATCGCCTGGAGGCTGGAGTAATCTCAAAGGCCCGAATCGACGCGTTTCAAACCAAGGTTTGAAAGCGTCGAAACGCGTCATATGACGCACATAAACCTAGCTTTGTCGACAAACCTTTTTTGTGAATTCGGGCCAAAGAGTCGGAAAAGATAACTTCCCCTGCGTAGAGACTTGGAAGGTGTTAAAATCATTTTAGGACAAGTACACTGTTGGTCATAATGGTGGAATAATTATTTTTACCCCAATTTATTGAATGATTTTGAATGATGTTTTATTCCTAATAGATCTAGGTAATAGTATACATTCTCAGAGTATTTGTTTTGCGTGACTGCTTAAGCATATGTGTGCTACTTTGCTAATCAAGTAGGGGACCTACGTCCTTAAGTCATAACTGACAGTAATGGGGATTAATATAGCACATTGACACGGTTTTGATCATGGGGGCTCACAGTAACGAGGCCATTGCTTAGCCAATGAATCATGACTGTACGCAGCGGGCGCTAGGGTACGTCGACGCCCCCACAAAAACAAAAAATCAAAGAAAATGCAACAAATGTTCAATAATTCATTGCATTTTGCCCCGACCCCCAACACACAAAAATCCTCTATGTGGGCATGCCTTGAACCATAATGCATGGCCCTACAGAGGAATTTTTCCTGTTTACAGTCATGATTCATTGGCTAAGCAATGGCCTCGTTACTGTGAGCCCCCACGATCAAAATCGTGTCGATGTCTTATATTAGTGCCCTTTTATGAGGCATTAATCCCCGTTACTGTCAGTTATGGCTTAAGGACGTAGGTCCCCTAGTTGATTAGCATAGTAGCACACATATGATTTAGCAGTCACGCAAAACAAACACTCCTTAATTGTAATTCAATAAAATCTGAGAATGTATACTATTTTCTAGATCTATTAGGAATAAAACATCATTCAAAATCATTCAATAAATTGGGGTAAAAATAATTATTCCACCATTATGACCTACAGTGTACAATTGCGGCCATCTCGGCTGTGGAATTTGCTACTGTCTTAGATTGAGAAACATCATAATAAGCTACATGAAATGCAGCAGCAGCAGAGTCCTTACCCAGTGATCTTGATCCATCCGTATATAATGTGTTAATAATTGTTCCATTTCGAGTTTATCACTATGGCTGCTTCTCTTTGTGTGTGTGTGTGTGTTTGTGTGTGGTTGTGTGCGTGTGCGTGTGTTTTCCTACAATCACTTTCTATTATGTTATTTATTGCTTTTATTATTCTATTATTTTCTCTTCCTTTCTTTCTTTACGCTGTCCTTTGTTTCTTCCTTCTATCACCTTCTCTCATGTTATTCTCTATTTTATTCATTCTATCACTTTCTCCTTCTGTCTTTCCTTTTTTCTGACCTGTTGGTTACTTACATCATTTTCGTTTTTTTCCAAGTCATCCCTTTATGCTATAAAATTATCCTTAGGAGAGATTGTCGGTCTATTTGTGGGAGAGAATAGATTTCCAATAGGGGGAATGAAAAACTAAAGGGAGTGACTACATTTCTTAAATTAAATTAAGACGGCTATCATGAGGTTCTGAATGGCTAAAACTCGAGAACCGTCTGCATGTGTTCACGTTAATCATGCATTTCCAAATGAACAGTGAATTTAACGAGTCGTTACTAATTTCGGGATATTTTGTTTCCTCTCTGTAGTTGACTGTTCTGCTTCGGGCGGCAACCCATGTATGAACGGAGGTACCTGTGAGAACAATGCATGTACATGTGCTGCAGAATTTAATGGAGAGCTTTGTGATACAGGTATGCACATTTATTGTAACATTGGGATTTATCTTGAACGTAAAGTAATATTTAATGATAATGATGATTTAAGCCGTGATACGCTATTATCGTGCACTTAACTTCTTTATATATATCGGAATGAGCATTCTAACTTTCAAACATTGCCCCCCCCCCCCCGAAATAGAGTGTGGTAAAAATCTGATCAGTAGACACCTGTAACGACCCGTACATAAGATTATATATATTTACGATAGAAAATATGCGATAATCCTACATT